CCCAGGACGAACAAGACTCACGCTAAAGTACATACTATGAAAAAAAATCTCCTTTGTTTACTTATAGATCAAAACAGCTGATCAAGGAATGTCTTTGTTTACTTACAGATCAAAACAGCTGATCAAGGACGCCATTATGGACAATGACTTCCTGAAACACCTGACCGAGCCAGGTGAGGGAGATCGTGGACTCCATGTACCCGCAAGAGTTCGGTGCTGGCTCCTGGGTCATAAGGGAAGGAGACGCCGGTGAGTGATGGTGATGATGATGATGATGGTGCTAGGATTGATAGTGATGATGATGATGATAGTGCTAAGATTGATAATGGTGATAATGATAAGTGGTAGAAGTGTTTATACAGATAATAAAAGAATAATAGTAATAATATTAAACAAGATAAATATGTAAATAATGAAACAATAATAATAGTTCCAGGTGATGATAAACAATAACACGGCCACCACCTTTCCTCTCCTTAGGGTCACACCTATACGTGTCAGCCATGGGGGAACTGGAGGTAGTGAAGGATGGAGATATGTTAGGCCGGATGTCGTTCAAGGCCTCGGGAGCTGGCCATCCTCTACAACTGTACCAGAACCGCCAGCATCAAAGGTGAGTGTACCTGGAGCTTGTTAACACCCATTTGACCTGTCTTGACCTATCCTAACCCTACAACACCCTCACCTCTCACAACACCCTCACCCCCACCCCCACCCACAACGTCCCTAACCCACCCACACTCCCCCCCCACACCTCAGGACCCACCCTAATTGGTAAACAGAGCGGGCTACGGAGGGCAGCTTATAGATTCACTTTTCCTTTCCTCTGAATTTTGAAGTATTTTTCTCCCCACAGCCTTGTAGTTTGAGGTTACGTGAGGGGGCATTGCAGCTTGTACACACTCTCTCTCCACAGTAGGAAAATAGAGAATAGAATATATATTAATAAGTCTCTCTCTCTCTCTCTCTCTCGTATATCTGATAGAAAATTTAAAAAAGTAGTGATAAATTTTCTTTCCTCGCCAAGTGCCAACAGTCCACTCAGATATTTTGTAAAAAAAAAAACCTTGCTGACTCAACCTAGAGAATTAAATTTTTATATAGTGACACCTCCATATAACGACTTGATATTCCTTACAATCCGTTAAATAGTTTCTGCTATAACGACCCTCTATATAACGGACTCTCTATATAGTTCGTTAGATGGAGGTTTCGCATATAACGGACCCTCGATACAACGGACTTTCACCTCTATATAGTTCGTTAAATGGAGATTTCCATAACGGACCCTCGATACAACGGACTTCCTTCTAGTTCGTTAGATAGAGGTATCACTCTGGCAACATGTATATTTATGTGTATCTCATCTGTTTACGATCACATGAAGATTAGGCCTAGTTTATTTCACCGAAGATTAGGCCTCCAGTTTATTTCACCTGAAGATTAGGCTTCAGTTTATTTCTACCTGAAGATTAGGCCTCCAGTTTATTTCACCTGAAGATTAGACACCTACGCTAACTGGGGGGTTTAGGGGTAGGATAGGTTAGGTTAGGTTAGGTTAGGTTAGTTAGATTGGAATTTAGCGTTAGTGTGTCTAATCTTCATGTGAAATAAACTGGGGTGTCCAATCTACAGGTGAAATAAGCTGGGCGTGTGTAATCTTCAGGTATTCTCATATAGTAGCCAGTGAGAATATGAACACCAGACTTTGTATCTTGACACACACACACACACACACACACACACACACACACACACACACACAGCCGTCGCCAGGAACTCAGCCGCTGTAAACCTTGGTATGCGTCGTAACATTTCACGAGTGAACTTTCGCTATCCGGGCGCAGGTGATGGAGTCTTAAATTCATCCCTTTGTTATCGAGGTCTTCCTGTCCTGCCTCTATCCGCATACACTGCCTCATCCACATCCCTTGTCCCTAGCCTTTATCCCCATTTCCATCTCCATCCCCATGCCCTATCCCCTATCCTCTCCCTCCTCCATCCCTGTCTGGGCTGGAATTTTGGTTTATTTATTGTTCTAAGTTCAGTCAGCTGCTACATGTAAACAAACAACTCCCTCTAGTCAGCTGGTACATGTAAACAAACAACGCCCTCTAGTCAGCTGGTACATGTAAACAATTCTCTAGTCATTAGAAGCATAAACAAACAATTCCCTCTAGTCAGCTGGTACATGTAAACAAACAACTCCCTCTAGTCAGCTGGTACATGTAAACAAACAACTCCCTCTAGTCAGCTGGTACATGTCAACAAAGGTTGTCATCCAATCAGCTGTTCCGTGTAAACAGAGGAGGGCGAGGGGGAATAACTCGGAGACTTGCACGTGACGACACCTGGTTGATTGTATTTGTTGACCGAAGTTTTGCTGGAGCGTGTGAGGAGTGAGGAGGTGTGAGGTGTGAGGAGGTGTGAGGAGTGAGGTGTGAGGAGGCATCTGAGCACAGTCACTCGGGCTCTAGTGACACAGATGAGGGTCCAAAGCGGCACCTTTACTGTACTGTAACTGAGATGTACAACTTGATGCTTATTGTTGTTATCCCAAGACTCCCAGGGGGAAAATTGTCATAAGAAGCTTTTAGTGGTTAGTGGAGTGCAACCTTTTTCCGGTAGATGGCAGAGTCGTCCGTTAACCCTCCCCCGTCATTCTCCTCTTCCCTGCCCCCCTGCCATTCTCTCCTGCCAGTGTTGTGATGGAGGGAGGTGGGACATGGTCGGAGGAGAGGTTGATGTGCTTAACCATGGTTTTGGTATTGTTGTTGACTGTCCGGTGTGTTCTGGAGGGCGCTGTAGTCGGGGGCCGAATTGTTGATACTGATGCCAATGGTGGAGTCGTCGACATATTTCCATGAGCGGAAGTAACTTTGTGGGCATCGATAATAAAGATGAGGAAACAGAGCGGTCCCACCCTAGTGCCTTGGGGGACGCCGCAGGTGATTGACTGAAAGGTCTAACTCTGGTGAAGCCACTTATGTCTTACGTTTATTTAGGTCGTGGTATATGACATATAGAGCACTAACAAGGCAGTGAGTGGTGGAGGAGGTCTTTATATTGTCGGATTACTGAGGATCTTTGGCGCCTGTAATGTCAGTGAAAGTCCTGCCAAACACACAACTTCCAGAGATTAGGCTGGGTATTAGGGTAATGACAATAGGTCGTAACTCGTTTAAGGATTGTGAGCTCGTTGACTTGGGTACTGGTGACACATAATGAGGTCTTCCAATCAGGAGTGGTGTGTGTGTGTGTGTGGATGAGTGAGTCATTGTTTGGGTTTTACTGCAGGTGATAGTGTAGTGGGGATGGTACTTGAATATTTGTTTTAATTGTGCACGTACAGCGGCTAGTTTATTGTGCACCCCATACTCATCTTGTGAGCGAAAGCGCAAAAGGATTACAGAGTAGAGGTCACAAAGGATCTGTATAACTAACCCTCGTGGTCAGGATATTATGGCGTAGAATGTGACAGAGTATTTGAAATAGAATGTTTGTTTAACTTCTGTACATAGAGAGTAACTTATTCACAACCGCGTGAGTACAGCAGTGCGAGTGTGTGTCTTCGTAGTGGTGGGTGGTGGTGGAGGTGGTGGTGGTGGTGGTGGAGGTGGATGTGGTGGTGGTGGTGGATGTGGCGGTGGTGGTGGATGTGGCGGTGGATGTGGCGGTGGTGGTGTAGGTGGTGGAGTTAAGGTAATGGAGATGGGAGTGGTGGAGTTATAGGTGGTGGTGAGTGAAGGTCTCTACTGGGTCCACAATAAGGTGTTAGAAGTACTGTACGTGTTGATGATATAATTAGTTAACCCGTCCAGTCAGTTATTACCTGTAACCGGAGAGAGAGAGATAGATGTTGGGGAGAGGGAGGAAGAGGAGGGGGGGATGAGAAAAGAGAGGTGAGACATCTTTAGAGGTGGAGAGAGATCAAGAAAGTCGTGGGGATAGTTAGGACAAAGTAGAGATAATATAAAGGTAAAGAGTGAGTTAGAGGTGAGAGCTAGGTAAGGAAAGAGTCGGGGAGGGAGAAATGGGTAGTGTCAGAAAGATAGATAATAATAATACTAATATTATTTAGTCAACAAAATTGTCGTACAAGTTTACAATTGGATAAGCATGTTTAAAAAATATGCAGTTATACAGTGCAGCTTGAATATAGACAATGTATATTGAAACAGTTTATTTAGCCAGAAAAAATACAGAGTGGATAATGATATAATATTGACATGGCTGAGCCAATTGACAGCTTGAAAACAACAATGGTAAACAGTAAGGCAACTTTGCAAGGATAGCCAACAAAGCTGGCAGATGCTCATATCCAGGAAGGTCTTTTGCTTAGGCTTGCACCTGGTCTGTAATCAGTAATAGTATATCTGCAGGAGTAATCAATCAGAGTTCCATCATATATGAGGGTTGACGACCACAGTCCTCCACTCTAAACGTTCTCTGGAGATTTTTACCAATCTCCTAAAGTTGTGTATCTCTGAGGACACAGTTTTCAATTTCATTCATCCTTCCCAGTCTCTCCCCTTGGCCCTCCTGCCCTCAACTTCGGCCATTAATATTTGTTATTATTCCCTCATCCCTAATTATATGACTAAAGTATATTTTCTTTTTCTGTACATTTCAAGTATTTCGCTTGAAGTTTTTGTTAATCTTAGTACTTCTTCATTTGTTTTTCTGTCAGTGTAATTTATTCTTAACATTCGCCTATTACATCATCACATTTCAAAGGCCACCAACATTTTCTGGTGTCTGTTAAAGTGTCCACGCTTCTGACCCATACATCAGTCCTTCGGCTTCCCCTTTTTCTCAAATTGAAGTTAATGTCCCTTTTCATTAGGTCTTTTATATTATTAAATGCTATTTTTTCTTGCCCTTTTCAAATTTCTTGCTCACAATTATTAACATGTATTTACCAGTTAGAACGTATTATCATCGAGGAAGAATCAAACTTCCACAAAGCTTCATGCCCCTCGCCTGTTACTCGTACAACTCAATATACTCGCAATAATAACAGAAGCTATTTAATTATAATTTCTGTGTTTAATAAAATAGCAAGTTGGGCTCGGACTATATGAGGCTGGCGGATCACTGCCGCAAGTACAACAATATGCGGTTAATAATATAGAAACTCTCTCTCTTGCTGTAACGTCATCTGTTATGTATTTGTTTGGTTTAGCTTTGAATTGTTTAATACCATAACTAGTGTTGATGTGGTCTGGTAAGGGAAGAGAGTTAGAGAGATATAGGTAAAGAGGGGCAAAGAGATAGACACAGATAGAAGAATAGCAGGTGGGACAGGAGTCGTAGAGAGAGAGAGGTGGGGGAGAGGAGGGGAGGGGAGGGGAGGTGACATCACTCTACACCATAACTCAGATCAATCCTCTCCACGGAGGCTTATGGTGGCGGCCTTCCCTTGATCTGTCCGGAGCCTCCCGCCTAAGTGTTCCGTGTCCCCCCTTATGACTCGCACTGCTATTTCCAGATCACCCAAAGCCTTTATTACTTCCATCGAAAAGGTGACCGGTAATTTCCACTCCTGATAAATTCACTCCGTCAGGATTTTACTCGGGGGAGGGTGTGGTGGTGGTGGTACTGCAGGCGGGAGGGTGTTGGTGGGGGTGTTACTGCAGGCGGGGGGAGGGTGGTGGTGGTGGTGGTACTGCAGGCGGGAGGAGGTGTTGGAGGGTGTGCTGCGAGGCAGGGGGAGGGGGTGTTGGTGGTGGTGGTACTGCGAGGCGGGGGGAGGGTGGTAATACTTCTAGAACTGTCAGAATAATACATTGCTTCAGTTTATCGTGGAGACTAACCTATACGCTTCAGCTTAACTCCCTCTTATGTTGTTTCAGCCGTGACCCATGCCAAGGTGTGGGTGCTGGACCGCCGGGTGTTTCAGCAGGTGATGATGCGGTCCGGCCTCAAGCGTCTAGAGGACAACATCAACTTCCTCTCCAGTGTGCAGCTCCTCCACAACCTCAACAAGGACCACCTCACCAAGATCGCTGACGCCCTCGAGGTGGTGAGTACCTGTTTGACTCACTCTTTCTGTAGGTTATGGCCGCCGAGGTTGCACACACACACACACACACACACACAACATAGGATAACATAAAGAAGCCATAATTTGTATTGTTTACTTACCAAATATAATAACAACATTGTATGACATAAACAAGACAGACTCAGCAAGCCTCACCAAGAAAAGAAGGGTGACTTCACCATCCCTAGTCTCAGTGTGGCGTCTTTGGTGTGTTTGTCACTCGTTCTGCTTTTCATCTTGGTGACCTCTTGCTGGTGACTCCACCCTAAAGTCCTCGTCCTCAAAACCCTTTTACTCTCGGTGAGTTCTTGCTGGTGATTCTGTAGTAGTGACCTTATCCTATGACCTACAGTATATATGAATCTCTTAATAGCTATCCTGCCTCCGTGATCCAGTCTTTTTTGACCTTGTGATCCCTTCCAGCTTGATCCTGGTGACCTCGTCCTTGTGACTTGATCCTGGTGACCTCGTCCTTGTGACTTGATCCTAGTGACCTCGTCCTTGTGACTTGATCCTAGTGACCTCGTCCTTGTAACTTGATCCTAGTGACATCATCCTTGTGACTTGATCCTGGTGACCTCGTCCTTGTGACTTGATCCTAGTGACATCATCCTTGTGACTTGATCCTGGTGACCTCATCCTTGTGACTTGATCCTGGTGACCTCGTCCTTGTGACATGATCTTAGTGACATCATCCTTGTGACTTGATCCTGGTGACCTCATCCCGATGACCTTGATCTGATCCTGTATGATCACCAGGTCTCTTCTGTGGACGTCGACGTTGTGTCTTCTGTGACGATGAAGTAGGGAGGAGAAGGGAGAAGAGGAGAGATGAGGTAGCAGGGGTGGGATAGGAGGGGAGAAGGTGAGGGATGGGGTAGGAGGGGAGAAGGGAGGGATGGGGTAGAGGAGAAGGGGAGGGTGAGGAATGGGGTAGAAGGGAGAAGAGGAGAGATGAGGTAGCAGGGGTGGGATAGGGAGGGAGAAGGTGAGGATGGGGTAGGAGGGGGAAGGGGAGGGTGAGGAATGGGTAGAAGGGGAGAGATGAGGTAGCAGGGGTGGGATAGAGGGAGAGGGGATGGGGAGGGGAGAAGGGAGGTGAGAATGGGTAGAAGGGGAGAGGAGTGGGGTGGGGGGAGAAGGTGAGGATGGGTAGGGAGGGGAGGGGGAGGGTGAGGAATGGGTAGAAGGGGAGAAGAGGAGATGAGGTAGCAGGTGGGATAGGAGGGGAGAAGGTGAGGGATGGGGTAGGAGGAGAAGGGGAGGGTGAGGAATGGGGTAGGAGGAGAGAGGAGATGAGGTAGCAGGGGTGTGGGATAGGAGGGAGAAGGTGAGGGATGGGGTAGGAGGGAGAAGGAGGTGAGGAATGGGGTAGAAGGGAGAAGAGGAGATGAGGTAGCAGGGTGGGATAGAGGAGAAGGAGGGATGGGGTAGGAGGGAGAAGGAGGGGTGAGAATGGGGTAGGAGGAGGAGGGAGATGAGGTAGCAGGGTGGGATAGGGGAGGAGAAGGTGAGGGATGGGGTAGGGAGGGAGGGGAGGGTGGGAATGGGGTAGAAGGGAGAAGGGGAGAGATGAGGTAGCAGGGGTGGGATAGAGGGAGAAGGTGAGGGATGGGGTAGGGAGGGAGAAGGGAGGGTGAGGAATGGGGTAGAAGGGGAGAAGGGAGAGATGAGGTAGCAGGGGTGGGATAGGAGGGGAAGGGTGAGGGATGGGGTAGGAGGGAGAAGGAGGGTGAGGAATGGGGTAGAAGGGGAGAAGGGAGAGGGGGGGGTGGGATGGAGGGAGAAGGTGAGGATGAGGTAGGAGGGAGAAGGGGAGGGTGAGGAATGGGGTAGGAGGGGAGAAGAGGAGAGATGAGGTAGCAGGGTGGGATAGGAGGAGAAGGTGAGGGATGGGGGGAGGGGAGAAGGGGAGGGTGAGGAATGGGGTAGGAGGGGAGAAGAGAGAGATGAGGTAGCAGGGGGGGATAGGAGGGAGAAGGTGAGGGATGGGGTAGGAGGGGAGAAGGGGAGGTGAGGAATGGGGTAGAAGGGAGAAGGGAGAGATGAGGGTAGCAGGGGTGGATAGAGGGAGAAGGTGAGGGATGGGGTAGGAGGGAGAAGGGAGGGTGAGGAATGGGTAGAAGGGGAGAAGAGGAGAGATGAGGTAGCAGGGGTGGGATAGGAGGAGAAGGTGAGGATGAGGTAGGAGGGGAGAAGGGGAGGGAATGGGAAGGGGAGAAGGGGAGAGGAGGTAGCAGGGGTGGGATAGGGGAGGAGAAGGTGAGGGATGGGGTAGGAGGGAGAAGGAGGGTGAGGAATGGGTAGAAGGAGAGAGAGGAGAGATGAGGTAGCAGGGGTGGGATAGGAGGGAGAAGAGGACGGTGAGGAGGGGAGAAGGTGAGGGATGGGGTAGAAGGGAGAAGGGGAGGGTGAGGAATGGGGTAGGAGGGGAGAAGGGAGGGGTGGGACAGAAGGGGTAAGAGGAGAGTATAAAGGGAAGAGGTTTAGGTGATGACGATGGGGTAGAAGGAAAGGAAAAGGGTTAAGGGGGATTGAGGAAAAGGGGTGAAGGGGGACTACCTGAGCTGACAGATGGGCCAGAGCGCCATCCTCCTGTGGGGCGTGTGGAACATGGCGTCACTGTCCACGGCGAGCAACTCCCCCTCCAGTCCTCTGGGAGTACAGCCACGGCAGCTCCTTCATCAGCGACCCGTCCACCCACGCCCACACGCCACCCCAACCTTCCGTCGATCCTCCAACCCACGCCCAACCCGAGGGCGCGCCGTCTGTCAATATAAAGACCATAATTGTTGTAATAATAATAAAGATAGTAAATAACTAAATAATAATGAAAGTAATAACAGTAAGAAAATAATGTAGGTGTTTCAAATGCAGTTAACATGAGGTGTTACAAGCTGTTGTGTAAACCACACTCCCCCCCTCCCCCCCGTGGTGTAATAAGAGGTTTGGTTAGGTTAGCTTGAAGTGAGTTGGTGTATAGCTTGTTGATGAGGTGAGGGATAATGACTGGGTTGTGAGGCTGCGCGTAGGAGCCTGACACCAATTATTATGATAATTACTCCAATTAACCATTCAGAGGTGAGGTGATTTGGTGGTTATGTGCTCAAGTGTGATGTGGGAATAATTGTTGGTACCTTAGTAACCTTACTCTCATATATATATTCTCCAACACCGAGAATTAATCCCGTTGGGGTCGTGTAGTAGTCACCGTAGGTCTACGGTGGCCGTCGGCTGTTGTAGTAATTCACCCAAGGGTTTCAGGTTAAATGAACTCCAGTCTTAGTGGAACTTAACTTAACCATGAGGATTAGGGCACATTATTTGTGGGGCTCACCAAGACAAGGAACTATTAGAACATGACCCCAATCCCGTTCGTTAGGTTAGGTGTCGTTGGGACAAAAAATCCAGTAAAAGAAAAATAGACAAGTGGAAAATGTCATTACCGAAGTCAGTGGCGGCGACGAAGTCCTTGAAGGGCTCCATGTCGTGGGGCACCACCAGATCACCCCTGACCTGACGTGACCCTGTCCATTTGCCCACCACGCTGAGGGCGTAGCTGTGGCACCGGGCACGGGCAGCCTCCCATAGCGTCCTCTCCTTCAACAGTGTCAAGCAGTCTGACCCCACGAGCTCGAAAGGCGCCGGGCAGTCTGTAGGAGACACCGTATGAGGCCAGGCAGTAGGCTAAGGATAGTATAGAAGTCAGGTCAAGGTGAAGGAGTACCGAAACTAAGCAAGGTCAAGGTCACTGATGTCAATTCCAGAAGATAGAGAAATGTGGGAGACTAGGTCAGGAGTAGTGTGGAGGGGAGGCAAATCATCAACGACCTCTTCAGAAACGGTGCAAAAATATATATATATATATATAAACTAGAACCATCAAATTGCCGTATAAAGCTGTTATAACACAAAGAAAAGAATCTAAATTTCTCTACCAGCACAATAATTACAAGAACTTCAAAGATACTTTTGGCAAAACACAAGATCGGAGATTCAAAGAATATACAAACTATCTGTTTTGAAGTCGAAATTATTGTTTTACCTTGGAATTAGAAATTGACATGACTCCAATCTGGCATCCGGGGATGAAATAGCTGATATTCATAACTTGCAGGAAGTGGATAATTAAAAGTCAAGGTTCAGAACGGTACATGGAATAGTAGTCAGATATTAATCAGTTTGGTCTCAATATTTTTCTAACTGGTTCGTACAGTTAGTGATTCCTTATTCTCTCTTAGCTAACCAGATGAAACATTTTGTTGTGTGATTCAGGAGTCCTGAGATTAAACAGCAGTTCTTTGGCTTGTTGATTATGCTCTGAATGCAGTTTAATTCTTGATGCTCATGTGTTGACACGGTGCTCAATAGTGCACAGAACAGACGGTCTTCCTAGTAGTATAGTGTCCATTGATGACTGCCCTCTAAGTGTGGTCTGTATTAGTGTGGATGTTGCAGCGTCCCAAATCATAGTTTTTACAGTAGTTAGCCAACCCTTGAAGAAAAGGCTTCTCACCCCCCCACCCCTGAGATATGATGGAGACTCAGCCTAGACGAGGAGGGTCAGGGGTTATAAGTTCCAGGTGAGAGGCCGATGGTGAAAGTCTATAGCAGGAAAGGAGTAGTTCCTAGTAAGGAGGGCCAACAGGTGCATGTGAGGGTGATTAGTGGAGTGAGCAGGTGTGGCGCGGCGGCCTCATCATCTAAGTGGGGGGCATTTGTGTGGTGATAGACACTCGCCTTTAATCTATGTATAAAGACGAAATTTATTGTGTGGAACGTTACCTATCACACTATTGGAAAGGAACACATACACACGCGAAAGCTAAGGTGCTCCGTTGTTTCCCTTTTCCCGTGTGATTTTATCAAGATATATATATATATAGTGTGCTAGAACTAGTCTAGCACACGGAAACATAAGACACACATGACTGAATTGATGCAACACACAGGTATATCACCAGAGGCAGGTGGTAAGGGATACGCCATTATACCGTTTCTCTGTATATCACTGGCACAAATTAAGGGTCGTCCTCTGCCTGGTACACGGTGCTTGTGTTCTTCCTCGGCAGTCTTGTTTTCAATACACCCACCTTGTGTGTTGTGGGCGGTGTTGTGTGTGACCATGTTACATAGTCACAGGTACGACGATTTTGCTTGGTACAGAAGTCCTCTCGACACGGTAAATCATTGTTTGTCTCTCTCCCTGGCTTTCATTCAATGCTTGTTTTTTTCGGATCTTTGTCTTCTTCTCTCCCTTCCTTGTTCCTTAACCCATCTCCCAGCTGTGTTGCTAGTTAACTGTGGCAGATCTTACCTATTGTGGGGGGTGGTTGTGTGGCGGCCTCCTCTTCACCACCAGCACCTCCTCCTCCTCCTCTGGCGGTGTTGTTGTCGATGGTTCCGTGGTTGCTACCTACGCCGTCCTCCCTCCCCAGCACTGTCTTGTCCCTCTCTCCAGCACCGTCACTAGGGTTGCCGGGACATCCATCCCCAGTGGTGGTTGACAGGAAGGTGATGTCTGACCGTACATTCTCCAAGGCTGCCAGTGTAAAATATAAATGAAAAAAATAAATAAGACACAAAGTATTGTTGTGGAGATGCTGTACTGTACATGCCTTATGTTAAATGAAAAAATGCCATAGGTATGCTGTGAGAGCTCATTGACGAAATTAACAGGCATCTTAAGCCACCTGTGCGCCTAAGCTGATCAGTACATAATGACCTGGAAGTTAATTGCGAGTTTAAGCTGGTCGATGTTAACAAACAGTAACTTTTGGTTCGTACGCATGTTAATAGCTCGTACATAGGTTAACTTAAGTTTGAGTGAGATTGATCGGTGTTGAAGAACAAATGTGGAGAAAAGGAAATGGTTGTAGAGAAAGAGAGGAGGATAATCCCCACTCCAGCCGCCCCTATTACTGGACGGTCACGTTTTTTTCTGCCTCTTGCCTGGGTGTCTGTGTGGCTCTGTGTGTGTGTGTGTGTGTGTTGATATGGTGGGAGCATAATATAGCTGCTGAGAACGTGACCAAGCTGTCTAGGGCGTGACCTCACCTCGGCGGTTATCGTTAACCTGGTCTCTGAGGATGTGGGTGAGCTCCTCTCTGGAGAGACGCTCCTGGTGCAGCTCACTCGCCAGGTGGTCAAAGCCGTCCCTCAAGTCACTCCTCAGCCCGCGTAGCACAGTCGTCAGCTCTAGCAGGGCCGAGTGAAGCCTGTCAGCATCGCTGGAGGACGCGGCGGCCACGACCAAGTTCCGGTGGGGCCATGGTGCCAAGTGCAGCGTTAACAGAACCAGCAGGAGGTTCCTCAACCAGCTCTGAGGAGGCGGGAGTTATATGTAGGTGAATATTATGTGGCAGTGATATGGCGAGTGAGAAACTGGCATCACGCCTTCTCTCTCAAAAATTCCCGTTCTTTATTTTTTTCCTACGCTGACCGCATAATCCAATACATAAGAACGCATGGTAGAACTCCACCAAGCATTTCCCTATTGAGACTGACTGACGACCGTGTTTGGAAAGCTCGCCGCTTCTTGATCACCAAATATTCCCTACTTGTTGAGGAACTCCGGGTTTGTTTTTGAGAGGAAGCTCATAGCCTGTGTCCGTGACTACACTATCATCCACTGCACGATCACTTTTAGGTGGGGATTCGGGGTCGACCTTACGACCCGCCAGCCGGTAGGGGCTGTTGACGGCAAGGGAAATATCGTACTGTATGACTCCCCCCCCAATTACTTTTAGTAAACTCTAAAAATTAACACCTAGGTACACTCCCCCAGGGTCACCTTAACATACAGGGAATAGTTCGGTTTAGGTCTGTAAGTTTCATTGTCTTGGAGTTATGATGCTGACTAACACACACACACATACACACACACACACACACACACACACACACACACACACACACACACACACACATACATACATACAGGCTCTTTCATTACAATACACATTATCTGGTAAAATGAACAAGGTAGCCAGCTTGTGTTACACCTATATTAAAGTACAGTACAGTAGTATCTTCTTTTGTAATTGTTAGTTGTGACCATTGTAGAGGTTACGTATTCCTCTCTTAAGGTTCTTACTCTTCCTTTCCATCTCCAGACTTTATCAAGGTTTCTCCGTCTTGTGTTTCTTTACCTCACAACACTGACAGCAGCGGAAAGATGATAAGTAATACCCCCTTAGTGAGGTGCTCGCCCGTGTCTAGTTAACTCTAATGAGTTTCTTTGTTGTTACAGTATATAAAGGAGGCGCAATATACAGTACCTTTAACATCACTGAATATATCCCGTACATACACAGATATGAGTCAAAAGAAATGCGATATTCACTAAAATCTCTGTGAAAATTATTTCAAAACTACATCACTTACCGGAACTTGTCAAAACTTACATGTTTCAGCGATTCATTACCGTAAAACAATGTAGTGCAGTACCGTGCAGCGACAACTGGCTGTTACTGCCTAAACAATTACCTGGTGTTGCATGACTATCTGTTAACAAGTTTACGGACCATGGCTTGCATTATTGCTACTACGTTATGTTTCCCTCAATTTGAAGATATTAGAACGTGTCTCACACTCACGTCAGTACAGCACCGAGCTGATAGTGTCTAATGAGCACAGAAACACTGCCGAAACTTATTGTGTTGGGTTTTTATCTCCACTGAGAGGATAAATATGAGGTAAGACTCTTGAAGCAGCTCAACTCAGACTAATAACTCATTATTGTCATAAATAATTTTTGCAACACGACAAGTGTACACTCATTTTGATTCAAATAACTGTTAGCTTGACTCGGTGTAGGACTCACTGACCTACATCACTAATGCGGCCATAATGTCCTGTTGTACGTGTGTCATGTCACAGTGGGGAAGTAACTGGGTCTTTAATATTATCTCGCCAGACAAGATCTATCTAATCTCTTCCCAACGTTTAAAAGTCCATGAGTTTAGCGGTCAGTGGGTGGTAGGTAACAATAAAAGAATAATATCACGGCCGTTCAAATGTTTCTCAGACATAAAACATAGACTAAGGGTATTTATTACTTAACACGTCATATCACTACATACTAACACAGTATCATGAAAATTCACGGAAAAATATTTAAAATACTAGAGGATCAAAAAATCTCGCTGTATCCTTACCGAGCGACTGGTCAATTTTCAGCAGATGGACCCCAATTCTAATAAGCCCAAATCCTGTAACTTTAACTATTAGTCGTAAGACATAGACTCCTGTTAGGTAAGAATCTATTAGGAAGGCGATTTGACGCACTGACAGATATATCTCCTCAATGTTATCACTTACACATGGACACTTGTTTATACATCTCGCCTCTGAATAAGCACACGCGGACGGTGTAAAACATATTAATACTATACAATCTGCGATTTATCTTTAACTGACGTGTCCCAGAATTTTGGAATATCGTCAGGTTGTGGAGGAGTGACATGATAATGTATTAATTGGAAAAATAACGAACAATTTCAAATAAGTTTTTACCTTAAAACTTAGGAAGTAAAGTTTGTTTCAGTTTGTAGGAATATTTGGATAAGTGCAGCGAGCTGAAAACTGGCGTCCAAACACACACACACACACACGGGGAGAGAGAATCATAGAACACAGATATTTACCTGGTAATTATTGGGTGAACAAGATGTCGTTTAGTGTGACCTTCCCTTTACACAGTATAAACACGAACTTTAGACAAGAAACGTAAATAGTACTTAACTCCAGGAACTTAATCTACTGTAAATAATTAACTTTACACGTCAAACCTTACCCATGGCTAGAATTCTAAAATGTTCTCACGATAAAGTTAACCCAAGCAAACGTGAGACAACATCCAACACTCCTTAAACTACAACACAAAGATGGATTCTCAGCAGTGTTAGCTCACCCGTGGAGGGAGAGGGGGAACGGCCCACATAAGCAACACATAAGTCAAAACATTGTTGAAAAGTCGTTAAAACTACTTATAATTTTGCATTTCCACTGACAGGAAAAACAACGTAGGAACATAAGAAACTGTGTACTACACGTTGGCTGGATGTTGGCTCAGATAAAAGAAATTCAGAAAGTTGCATATGTCATAATTAAAGTAATGGGGAACTTGGGGTGAAACAGGTGATTGGTTGGGGTTGGTTAGGAAGTTTCCTCGAACCTCAGTTTATGAAACCCACCCGAGACTCCTGGCTACTTCACTGTACAGTATATACAGGATACGCTACCGACGTCCTCCAGCCTGGTAGTGTGACCAAGAGATTGATGCATAGGTCAACTGTTAACCTTCTTGGCTGTTAGGTCTCTCACTCTCGTCACCCAGTTATATCTTGATCTCCCTGCCTGTCTCCCAGTTTCTATCTAATTACTCTCCCTATAGCATTCTTCATATCACGTCCAGTGTCTCACGCCTCACACATTTACTGTATTATTATTTTTTTAACCCTCTTTAGCCGCTTGGGCAGTCGGTCACGTCTCTGTTACGCACTGTTGGCAAGTACTGGGCATGCACCGGCTCCTGAATGTATCTGTACCTGCTCCAGTGTTGGTCAAGTCTTGTCTTGAAAGAGCTCACACTCGGTGCCGTCACAACACTATATCTGGCAGGTTGTTACAAGTGTTCACAACTCTCACTCCGAAAAAATTTGCCATCACACATTTGGGACTTGCGGCTTCTTCAACCTTGAGCTGTGACCCCTTGTGGGGGCGGTCGTCCGCCAACTCCAGGTATGGACACTCAACTGAGTAATTCCATTCGAGATGTTTCTACACCTCAATTAGGTCACCCCTTGCCCGTCTGTAGTATTAGCTAGGCAGTTGCAGGCGTTCTAATCTCTCTGGATAATTGAAGTGCCGGAGTGCAGGCACCAGTCTCGGGGACCAGTTGGGATGACTGTTCCAAACGGGGAAGCACCTCACTCTTGACGACCTAACTGGGGATTGTTTTGTGTGCGAGGGATATCTTTTTAAATGCAGCTTATCACAAATGGCCAATCCTTGATCAGCCACATGTAAAACTAATCTGTTTTATTCTCTCCTACGGTCCTACACCAATATATTTCTCCAAATTAATTCTACGTTTATCCTGCAGGATTTCTATGCCCCTGGGACCTACGTGATCCGGCAAGGCACCAGTGGGGACTCCTTCTACATCCTCCGCTCTGGGAAGGTGCGCGTCACACAGCGGATACCTGGTCAGTTAGTTTTTTTGTTTTTGTGAATATAACATAATTACCTCTCAAACTCACCAGTTTTTTCACCACAACTACATACCGATTCACGGTCAACTGTCATCATCACTATCAACATCTTTTCCAAGGTGTGTTCTGGCCGGACAAAACAAAATTCCGCGACTTTTCCAGATTTTCCAAATGTAAATTTGAAAAAAAATCCAGGTACATTAATTCAGTATTTATTACGACAATAACAGAATTAGAGGTTTTCAATAATATTTATAAACTATTGGGAAATTCAAAGATGATAATTGCCACTGGCTACCCAACGTGACTATTTTATTTAACCAGCTATGATCAGGATGATTATTAGGCCTAGTGATGAGCATCGGCAAGGACCTTGACCCCACCCTCCCTCCATATTTTTCTCCTCGGATTTGCACGTGGATCGACCTGGGCGTTCCAAAAAGCCGGAAATCCTGCAAAAACCGAAAATAACACTCCTGATCCACCTATATGGCTCATGATAAATATGTAGAATAATCCACTTAAAGTCAGTTAATTATAAGAACAACTCATCTGACAAAAATTTGCAGAATTAGTGGGTACAACCTGTAATACAGGTACAGTAGCTGTCTTTGGTTATTTGATCGCTAACATGAAATATGAGAGATACACAAACATTTCAGTTATTGGAGTGGACTATTTACTGGAATTTGTTCCTAAAAGCTTAATTATTTACCTATTAATATATAGTACAGTACATCGTTATTTTTTTTTAATGTTGCTACAAAATAACAATATTTTGAAGTTGAACTTAATTCATTTAAAATTCCAGGTTTATTTGTAAAATTCCCTGGCTTTTCCAGCCCAGTAGAAACCCTGTTTTCACACTAACTACCTCTTCACAATCAAACTGTCACCACCACTCAACATTTTCACAATCACTTAACATTTTTGCAATATACTGTAATCATCTTGCCACCATCCATTTTAACATGTGATTTTATTGCATCAACTTCGTTTGTCCCCCACCTCCTGCAGGGAAGAGTGAGGAGGAAGAGATACGGGTGCTACAGAAGGGGAGTTATTTTGGGGAACAAGCATTGCTGAAAGAGGAATGTCGCACCGCCAATGTCATCGCCATGGCTCCTGGGGTAGAATGCCTCACCCTGGATAGAGAGTAAGTTGACCACTGGCAGACAAGTTAAGCTTTACTTAAGATAAAATTGGTCTGTGATTACTGTATACCACTTCCTATTGCAATTTTTTCTCCCATAATTAACATAAATTTTACGTAACTTCAAAGCATACAACCAGTGGCGGATCCAGGAATATCAAGGAGGGGGCGTGGAGCACAGTTGGAGTGCTGCTGACTCCCCAAGATATTTTTTTTAAATCTGACCAATATCATGGACATTTTAAGGCCATTTTGATGCCATATGCAATTGATATTGGGAGATATTCTGAGGTCAATAGTAATTAATTTTTACCATACAATGCCTGAGTACAATACTGCATTAAAGAAAAAGTATTGGAATTCTTTTGATCAGGGGGTTCGCACCCCCTGGATCTGCCCCTGAAAACCCACTGTATTGTACTGTTGTTGGGTCATGTATTTTATTGTATTTCACTGTGTATTTTGTTTATTAGTTATGATGTAGTTTCAGTGTGTGTGTATGAGACCAACCCATTATTTCTTGACAGATCATTTATCCAGCTTATCGGTGACCTGTCAGAGCTACGTGATAAGGACTACGGGGACGAAACTCGTGGCGTCACCAGACCCATTACAGGACCTCATAATGTTGATGCTGTGGCAGGTTAGATTATGAGCTGATACTAATGTTTTCCCTGTGCAGTACTGTAGTTCACACAGTCGTCCATTATTGAGTAAATGCTGTTAATAAAGTTATGAAAATATGATACAAGATTTGATTAGACTATCTATTGTCGTTAGGGATCTTCTAGTAGTGAGACCAGGAAAGTGGTGCATTTTGAGTTATTGAGGAAACACATATTATTTGTTCTGTTGATTTTTGTTACATCAGTGAAAGAAACTTTAAAAATTGCTGTATTTGTTCCCAGGGATACGGTTTTGTCATTTTCATAATTTTTAACATTTCTTTCAGAATACGCCTACATACGACTTGATGACCTTGATGTTGTTGCAACACTGGGAGTTGGCGGGTTTGGACGAGTAGAGCTGGTACAATATGCCCATGACAAAGCCATGACTTTTGCCCTTAAGTGCCTTAAGAAACAGCACATCGTTGAGACACAGCAACAAGAGCATATTTTTTCAGAGAAGCGGATTATGATGGCAGTCCGCAACCCATTTGTGGCAAGGTACAAAAGTTAATCAGGATTAATGTACTATATTAAAATATCTTCATCTACAGTACTCTACCTGTCTATCTAGCTATCAGTATCATATCAAATCTTTATCGTGAAATATATCTATCACGTCTAAATCCCTCCCTGTATCTTTTTGTTGATTACCAAACTATCCAACATCTCTCCTAGAAATACTAAAAATCCAAAACCAGTAATGAAAGCATGTGTGGTAGAAATCTGCATTTTGGTTAGTACTAAATATGTTTAAAATTCTTCATTTTCTTACATGAAGAAATAATACAGCCAATATATAAAAACTAGGAGTGTTGGTGGTACAGCGGTAACGTGCACTAATATGTCATGAGTTCGAGCCTCAGCCTGGACTCATGTGAGAAGGGTGTTATCCAGTGTGACCCTCACTACCAAACATCCAATTTCTCGGTCTCTGGTTTCCTCCTGTACTAACACTGGATAGACCAACTGCCTGAATGACTTTTAAGCTGATAATTGGCAAAATTATTAAAAATAAAATAAATAAAAGTAGCTACAACTTACACATAAAAACAAGATGGTGTAAGTTAAGAACAAATAAAAGAAGTCTTCATTTATATACTATACTGTACATACAGAATGGGGCCAACTAAGAACCCCTACTAGCGGATCGGTCCACAGTTTTGAAGATAGAAACCTAAAATTGGGTAGGAAGGTACGGGTTGACGAGAGAATGGTCGTCCAATCTTCCGTCCTTCCAGGAAAGGTGGCTCAGCCCCACCTTCAGGTTGGATGTATTTCCATATATAAAACTAGAAAGTAAATATTTGGTTGTGAGGTGCGGTGAGTGCGGGTGACTTAAAGGATAGTCATACACTATCTCCTGTCCTTCCACTAGGGGCGGGAAGGTCCAGTTTTAAAGACGAGCTGAAATTTGGTAGGGAGGTGTGAATGGTCTAGTGCATGGTTGTGTCCTATCTCCCATCCTTCTACATCGGTGAAATCAGGTAATTAATGCACGTACTGTACATTGTTCTGGTGTAGGATGGCCAGAATTCATTTATATTTCATTAATTCTCTCTTAAGTGCTGTAACAGGTTTTTCTACTACGTTGACTCCCATTGCACAACATTCAGGGGAAATAAGAACCAAACAGACTGTGAAAAGCTCTTCAAAAGTGAGGTACTTCCCTGTTTGGAGTACAGTACTGTCACCCCACCTGGTCCCCAGATATACTAAAGACTCAGTTGATTAAAATCATCCAAAAGTAGGGCCACCAGACTGATGCCTGCACTACAGCACCTCAGATACCCAGAGAGATTAGAATGCCTACAGTTGCCTAGCATATAATTGGCAAGCAAGGCATGACTTAATTGAAGCTTATAAACACTTCAGAGGATATTATTGTACTCTGTCAAATGTTCATACCTGGAACTGGCAGATGCCTGCTCCACTAGGCGTCACATCTTGTGCCCAGGCTCCCCTCTGAGCTGAATAAAATTGTCTTGTGTTAGTCAAATCAAACTTCAAAAGTGGCTTCCCTGTAGTGAAGTGTGTTAGGGTTGAAGTCACAAATTTAGAAAACTCATTTTTTTTTCTTTTATCTTCTTTGGAGTGAGAGTTGTAAACTCTTAGAACAATCTGCCAGAGAGTGTTGTGATGGCACCAAGTGTGAGCTCATTGAGAACCAGACTTAACCAACACTGGTGCAGGCACAGATACATTCTGGAACCAGTACTTGTCAACAGTGCATACCAGAGATGTGACCGACCACCCAAGTGACTAATGAACTGATCGGTAGCAAAGAGTATAAAGTATCTCCTCAAGATTTCCTGTAGGTTTACCTATTGCTTTATACAGCCCAACAACTCACCATTGGTACTGTACATTCATTCCTTTTATCACGTGACTAGCTAGATGCAATCCACCATTAGCTATCCACCCTGAACATATTGCACTTCTGGGATAAAATATTGTATAAATATGATAATTAAAGTAGAGTATGACCATATACTGAAGTGACGGTATGCTCCATTTCTTTCAAGTTTTTTGTTTTTGTTTTTACATACAATGGCTAAAAGTATGCTTTAATATACAACATAATAAAGTTAATCTTAATTTAATTAAATACTGTACTGCTTATTACAGCCCTTGATGGCGTTCTCCCCTAAACAAATAATAGTACAGTATTTAATGTCCTTAAACCCAAACCCCAAAGATAAGGATGCTACTGAGTGAAGTACATTACTCATGTGTTATTTTTCTTCAGATTGTACAAGACTTTTCGTGACAACAAGTATGTTTACATGATGATGGAGGCGTGCCTAGGAGGCGAGGTGTGGACACTTTTACGTGACCGTGGGTGGTTTGAGGACCTCACCGCTCGGTTTTATACTGCCTGTGTGGTGGAGGCCCTCGAGTATTTACATGCCAAGAATATCATTTACAGAGATCTCAAGCCAGAAAATCTCTTGTTAGATTCTACGGGATATGCAAAGTTGGTGAGTACAGTACACTACACTACACTACACTACACTAATCAGCTAGTAAAGAAAATTACACCTGTGAACTTGAGGTTAAACCATCAATTAGCACTTGTCCATCTGATTTTTTTTTCCATCTAACATCAGTTTCCTTACATGCTTTCATATATTGTGTGATTATAACTTATTACAAACACACAAGCTGGGTGTGACTGCCAGTTATAGTCTTTTGTCTGAAGTCTTCTCTAAACCTTGCACTTATAAGAATTACTGTTCAAAAAACATATTCCAAAGTTACATAACATTCTCAAAGTAACTCAAGTCAGAGAAAACTTCATGACATGTTTGTCTTAATTTAGTGTCATTGTACTCATAATATGGTAGAACAGCAAACCATCTTGTTCAGAAAGAAGGTTTCTCATAGATTAAAGTAGTACAATATTGGTCATAGTATAGGTATATCATGTACTGTGCTGAATAACATTCTGGTTAAGGGTGGACCCAATTTGCTAAAACAACAGACCTTCACACTTACAACTACCACCCAGTTCATGCATAACTTAATATTACCCCAAGACTCTTCCATTTCCCACATGCGATAACACTCTTGCATCATTCACTGTATTGGTTCATGTTATTTCATATGTATAATTTTTTCCAATGTTCAGGAGTGTGAACCATTACAAGACCACAGTTTGATTCTTAATGCAGAATTTTTAATTCTTAGGTCGATTTTGGGTTCAGCAAGAAACTTGGACCCAGTAGCAAAACATGGACTTTCTGTGGCACTCCAGAGTATGTCGCACCAGAGATCATTCTTAACAAGGGCCATGACAAAGCCGTTGATTATTGGTCAATTGGCATCCTCATGTATGAGCTACTGACAGGAACGTAAGTATTAGACTCATTAGTGATTACTAATTGACTGAAACTGTATGTATAGTACAGTATTGGTAATATCTGTGTGACTTAAATTTCCTTATATTAATATTCTTTTTTCTCTCCTACAGGCCACCTTTTACAGCTTCGGACCCCATGAAGACATATAATATAATCCTGAAAGGTATTGACATGGTGGACTTCCCACAACATGTAACTCGTAATGCTATCTCATTGATCAAGAGGCTGTGTCGTGAGAGTCCAGCAGAAAGACTTGGTTATCAGCGAAGTGGCATTCAAGACATCAAGAAACACAAGTTAGTAATTTGAGTTTTTTTATTTCCTTTCCAGTTGTATGTTGAGCTAATCTCTTGGGCAGTCAAGGTACTGACACTTAGAGATACAGTGTGAAGGAACATTATTATCGGTACTGATACTAATGAAAAATAGTATAAGAAGTGAAGTCCTGGAAAAATACTGTTCAAGATGTGGGAATTACCCTGTATTCAGAATGAGATGATGATGAAAAACCCAGACTTGAATACAGTAAACCATTGATATATAAGATGGTTGGATTCCTCGCAAACACCACATAAAGTTATTCTCTGTAAAATATTAACTTAGAGTTATGGGAAATAGAGGGTTAACTCATCAGTTTGCCATGACTGGCCACAGGAAAGGTAGATGTTATCATCAGCTGGCCAGTACAGTACTGTACATACTGTATAGGTATAACCAGGGGAGTGCTGGGCTGGTCAGGTATGCCCAAATCAGTTGTTAAATTTTGATTGGATCACTGAACTGTTTGTTGATTTTTTTAACAAATAGTTAGCTGTCAATAGAAATTCATCTTGAAATGGTGCCAAAAAGACCTTATTTTCCTTACTAAAAACTCCTATATGTTACATAAATTAAAGCAACAATCCACTGGACCACGAAGGGCTAAACATTAGGCTTCATGAGTGAATTATTGTGGAATGTATTGAGGAAGCTTCCTATAGAAACTATTTGCGGGAAATAAAAATGCCATATTTCAGTGGTTTTATTTAAAATGTATGGTTCTTGTGGAACAAAAATAAAACTGTGTTAGCTTTGTGTCCAAGTGATTCTGTGACACATCAATATAAACTACGTACCTCTCATTTACTCCACCATAACTACTCACTTGTAGCTCAAGGTCCCTCGCAAATTAGCGAGGGGACCTTGTTTAGAGCTCATTAGTTTGTAGTACTTTCACAAACACTTAAATAAAAGAAAACTACCCAAGTTAATCCATGTTTTCTTTAACAGATGGTTCCTAGGTTTTGACTGGGATGGCCTAAAGGCAAGGTCCCTCCAACCACCTATAATTCCAAAGGTAAGGATTACCGTAATTTAGATTTACTCCCTCATACTACAGATTTCACTGACAATGAGTTTTAAGAGTGTAGTGTGTGCTTTTCTAACCCGAGTTCATCAGCTTGGTACAGTATAATAAATGGATGGTTATATGAAGTAACTCATGTATGTCAGGTCCAAAGACCAAGCAAAGTCAGAGTGCAGAAGGGCTGAAAAAGAGTTCCTGAGGCAGACTGTAAACAAGGTCTAGTCATGAAACTGTGAGGGCAAACTTTTTTGAAGTGAGAATGGTGAACTTTTGGAACAATCTGCCAGAGAGTTGTGACTCCACCGAGTGTGAGCTCTTTCAAGGCCAGACTTGACCAACACTGGAGCAGGTTCTGATACATTCAGGAGCCGGTACATGCCCAATACTTGCCAACAGTGCGTAACAGAGACATGACCGACTGCACAAGTGGCTAATGAGCCTATCAGTGGTGAAGAGGATAAAAGTATGAGTTGCCATCACCGTCTAAACAGGGTGAACCTTTATACAGTAATTTGAAATCCCTCAACACAAGTGAAAGGTACCCGGTAATTTATACGGTATATGTTAAATCATCATTTAGTGTTCCTTTACTTCTCCAAAATTACAACTTTTATAGGTAACATGTCTTGTTGTGTTTATAAATATTTGAGTATTCTTTTGTCTTATGTAGGATAAACCTTTAATAGCTGCATGAGAATAGCAAAAAATATTTTGAAAAATCTCTTACGACAATTTTAAACATTACAGATTCGTGGCCCTGCTGATGCCAGCAACTTTGACTCTTACCCTCGAGATGTTGATGTTCCAGGAGATGAACTCACTGGATGGGATCTGGATTTTTAAGGATTCTTGTGAAGTTTCACAACAATGAGTTTTTTCATATTTGTGAGTCTAAGAAGTGCATCAGTTTCTTTTCCATTTGGAATAATAGAAAACAAAAGGTAAACTTCATTGCCTTTAAATAATAAATCTCTTTCTAGAGTGTCGTGTACATAATTAGAAAATTTATATGAGATAAGAATGAACTGAGAAAATATAACTGTTTGATCATAAATTTCTCATTTTATGAACTTTGAAATTTCAAACAGATTTTTATCAGCCTTTCTTACAGAGGTTTGCAGAACTAGTGTCCTTGTGCATAACAGGATATTAATCCTATGCTGGTACTTTTGAAGAGATTAAGACTAGTACAGTACAGTGTTATTCACACCCGTGTCTGCTACCTCCTGATAAAACTATTTTTGGCTTGGTTTTGGTATGTTCGCAAGAATTTCGTGCTAATAGCACCTGTGTGAAGTGTTTACTGCTCTGACCACCTCAGTGAAGTGACTGCTATGTGTACAGCAATGTTCACATGTTTCTTTTAGTATATGAAGAAAATCTTTTAAAATACTTATAATAAAAAATATTCAAGGACATAACCCATATTGGACTGTATTATGAAAAGCTGTATCTTATTTATTAGTTAATTGTATTGCTCTTAAGAGTGTTCAGAATTTTTATGTTTAACAATACAGTACTTGTGTTTGACTATGTTTACATGTAAGTTTAGTAGCAGTACTTCTCTTAAGCATGCTTTACTAAAAGTCCTCAACTCAATTCTCTTTATCACTTAATACTGATTTTTTTCCCACTGCCCAAAGATCCTTTCTTCTTTATGGGAATATATCATTCTGTTTCCACCATGACACCTTCAGGAGGGGTACAAGGTCGGGTTAGGTCAAGTCATCAATATATATACTGTAAATATAATATGGCATCTCAAACATGTCATAAATATTTGTGCATTAGTGACTCTACCATGTGTTCTTTGGTTAGCTTATCCTACATAGCTGTCACTTGTGTTGCCACACAAAACACATAAGCCACACTACAGTGCACCTTCAGCATGGTGTATTCAAGTAACACAGTAACACAGCATTGGCCGAACTAGACAATACAGTACTCAATAGATCCAACGTAAATAACTAACTCATATTCAAGATGTCAAACTCTTCCCTATAACAAGTCCTTATAAGATAAACTAAATCCAACCTTTAACTAATGAACTGAGTAAACCTGCACCATGCAGCAGTTTTACTTTTACAATATCTGGCTTCAGTGGATATTTATACCATCTGAAGTGACCTTGTATCACTCCTGAAGATATCCTTATAGAAATAGGGTAATATGTTGAGACCTGCAGAGAATCTCATCATTAACCTTCCCCCAAGAAACAGGACAACATTTACAGGTACAGTACAGTAATGGAAATACCCAAACACAATGTTAGGGAAGATGTGTATTGTGGTTATTGGATGGAGTACAATAGTCTTATGAGGAGTGCTCCCTGTCTATACAAAATTTATACCTATAAATGACCTTTCAATTCCTAAATGTTTAGTGCACCTATTTTTATTATTTATAAAATGCTTTCAATGTAGGTATTATTACCTTTCTTATGCATTTTAGTGTATACAGTACAGTACATATTGTACAGTTCTGTACAATGGTCATATACAGTAATTCCAACACTATACAGTACAATACATGGACACTAAACAGTATGTATATGTATATATATATATATATATATATATATATATATATATATATATATATATATATATATATATATATATATATATATATATATATATATATATATATATATATATATATATATATATTAATGATTTGCAATTTCAGCCATTTCAACATCTACCCCTAAACTATTAACAAATGGATGGCACAAATGATATAGAATGTTTTTGGCAAAAATTTATGTAACTTCCAGCCTGCCACATTGTTTGGTGTAATTTAAGTACAGTACAGTACTTCCTGTCTGTTCATTGCACAGTACCTGTATAGGTACAGTATATCATTATTTACCAGCCATTATTTTGTACCCATACAAAAGCTTTCAAGTGCAGCTGTTATACAATCATGATACAACATTCATTGTCTCTTCCTGAACACTTTACACATCAGATAGTTAACATGCTGAAGTACACGTACTGATATAGAAAATAATTAAAAGTCAATGTGTGATGGTACAAGCTTACATTTGGTCAAACTCTTAAGATTTTATAATGCCACTAAACTTTACTTTAAGGGTGTTATAATTATTTTATTAGATTTTATATGCCTATTTTACAGTGTTCTTCCAGATATGGATCTTCTTGTCAATTAATCAAATGATTTTTACCATACACAGTCTACAAAATATGAGTAACAAGACAATGGTGAATTAATGTAAGTTTATAAAATTTTATTATGTAACTGTCAGGCTGTTTATAAAGTGAAATAAGTTTTGGCAAATAACACTTGTATAATGTTCCTGAGACATGTTTCTTCAGAGAGACGTGTTAAGACTGAATGTGTGGGTAAGTGTTTTTGTACATAATGTTCCCAAGGATATGACTGTGCTTCTATAGGCTGTCTATAATGATAGAGTGAATGTACATAATATTTCTGTTATTTCTGCAGTTTAATGTTGCTAAATCAATAATGTTGAAATCAAATGAATGGTAAATATGTTCAGAAAATTACAGTCAAAGAAAATGTGTGGAACTTGCTTAACGGATGTTGCATAGCCACGGTCACTCTTGCACAAGATAAGCATTAAGGTCATGTATGTTAGGATATGTGTGTCAGTTTGCTTGTTGTTCCCGAGAGTAGATATCGTGGCCTCCGGGTTGCAAGAGTGTTTTACTTCCTCCATTATTTTGTTAACACCTTATAAATAAACCCAATTATTTCATAGTAAATAGACATTAATCCATATTATTTGTAGCTAGATATTTGAGGAGCACATTGGCACCTCTCATGTCGTTTTAAGCTGATTTCAATTAACAAACCCCATTATTATAGGACACTTTATTATAATTGTGTTGATCAAAGTGTGGAGTTACAACACTTTGGCACTGAGGCAATGATATATCACAAATCCAACTTGTTTATCACTAATACAGTTACCCACTGTGTGGGTTACCCCAGCCAATAACTGCCCTAACCAACCTATGAACTGATCCATCCCCATCACTTTACAAGAAAGATAGAGAGGATAATTATGAAGAGAAAGTGTTATACAGTTCAGTACTGTACTTTGGTATTGATATTTTTTTTTTAGCAATTCATTACTGTTTTGTACTACTAGGTGGGCACATTACAGTACTTGGTTGTGATAATTGTTATCAAAGATTTCATCAAGCATTCAATCCTAAATTGTGTTGATGTAAAACTAATTTTATGATAATTTTTCAAGCCACTTTATTGCCTTTAGAAGCGAGTCGAGGCTGCCTTACGGTACTGGAAGGATATTACAAGTAGAATATGTGATAAAGGTGTAGCAAGCTTCACTTATTCTAAGCATACTGCCTTCAGTATATTGTACAACATAGTTATCTGTGATTCACTAAAAATCAGGAAAACTCGGTAAGTTTTAATATCAAGTGGCAAAGAAAGTTAAGAAAATTTTCACAGTAAATCTTGCTCATCCCCTTAATTGTCATTTTTATTGTGAATGCTTAAGAAGTATTTAATAAACACCTCAATTAAACCTGAAATAGGCATTTCGTCAGTTTAAATTACCAGTAGTCTAAATTGGTTCATCAATATAAAATATATTTTAGTTTCATTAATTTGTTAAAATACTTTATACTGTACATCATGTAAGGTTTAGTCATATTTATTAATGTAAGCATCACTCATAACCATAAATTTTTCACATCAAGATTGAGTAAATCCTATTTATCAAGCTCAACTACCTTAACACATTTAAGATTTTTTCTTTTGTTGTCATTCACTAAAATATAAAGCACATTTTAGCAGAATATAATATACAATACTGTATTAGTTTTTAAGAACAATTTTTTAGAGAAAAAATTTTGCAACTCAAGTACACCCCAGTTATGATCAGTCCTAATCTGTCCAATATGATAGAGGCTAATTAGGACAATCCCAATAGTTAAGGTAGGGGCCTGTTAGGTCTGGGACTCATTTGACTGGTCACAGAATAAAACATATTCACAACAATTAACCTGGAAATTATAATTTTCTTACAGTTCTGCCATTTACTAAGGGCACACCTAAGGTTCTACAGATGGGCCATCATGCTTATTGATAGTCCTTAATGCCCTACAGGTACAACTTGCCCTCAATGTAAGTTTTTATTTTTTATTTTATTTTAGCAGTTGTGGTTACAATATTTTAATACTCTCAGGCACTTTGTTTGTATTTTTATGGACATAGGTTTAACAGTGAATTCAATTACCAGGAATCAATAGTATTTTATCTTCATTATATTTTAAAGATTTAATAAGATTGATAAACTCGTTTATTTCAAGTCAAAACCATTTACAGTAAACCCCGATATAATGGACTAATGCTGGGGGGCAGCAGCCTGTTAAAGCCAAAAGTCTACCATCATAGTCTAAAGTGACCATGTAGGTCACTTACCCTCACTACCAACAATCACCATCACCACCAACTCTCCATCAACACCACCACCTACACTCACCACCACCACTCTCCATCACCACCTACACTCACCATCACCACCTACACTCATTGACACCACCTACACAGAGGTGGATCCAGGGAGTTGTGGGTGGAAGAACATAGTGAACCCACCCAGCTGGGAAGTTTTGGGGGAGCGCTGTAAGCCCCGATTTATTTATTTATTTTTAATGTGACGAACATCATGGGCATTTTGAAGCTTTTACTTTTATCCTCTTCACCACTGATCGGCTCGTTAGCCGCTTGGGCGATCGGTCACGTCTCTGTCACACACTGTTGGCAAGTACTAGTCATGTACTGGCTCTCTGTTACGCACTGTTGGCAGGTACTGGGCATGCACCGTCTCCTGAATGTACGTGAACCTGCTCCAGTGTTGGTCAAATCTGGCCTTGAAAGAGCTCACACTCGGTGCCGTCACAACACTTTCTGGTAGATTGTTCCACGAGTTCACAACCCTCACTCCGAAAAAGTTTGCCCTCACAGTTTTCTGGACGTACGGCTTCTTCAATTTTGAGCTGTGACCCCTTGTGGGGCGAGCGTCCGCCAGCTCCAAGTAAGAACACTGGACTGAGTAGTGCCCCGTGAGATGCTTATACACCTCAATTAGGTCACCCCTTGCTCGTCTGTAGTATAAGCTAGGCAAGTTCAGGCTCTCCAATCTCTCAGGGTAGTTGAGGTGCCGAGGTGCAGGCACCAGTCTAGTGGCCCTCCTTTGAACATTTTCAACCAACTGACAGTCCCTAGCATATCTCGGGGACCAGACGGGGTGACAGTACTCCAGATGGGGAAGCACTTCACTCTTGAAGATCGTTACGAGGGACGGACACTCTAGATATGTGCATTTGATACTAAGAGATATTCTGATGTCAATAGTAATTACTTTTAACTATACAAAAATGCCTGAGTACAATATATACTGCATTAAAGAAAACCATTGGAATTTTCTGATGAAAAGGGGGGGGTTCCAGACCCCGACACCCCCTCCCTGCTACACTCACCACCAACAATTACCATAATCACCATCACCACTAACATTCACCAAACTAACTGATGTTTACAGGAAGAGAACACGTTCAAGCTGGGGCGAGAGTGTGGTGGACCACAGGCCAGCAGATTAAACAAAGTTGCTCTACACATTAGTAAACACATCCTTACTAGTTGGTTGTAAGTGTTGGGGTAAAATGATGCGTAATAATGACCGCTACACTGCCAGGAACAACTGAACAGTTGATTTGTGTGTATTATGGATTTTCATAATTTTTTTTTCCTAGTAAAAAAATAACTTCACGGGAGGACCAAAGTGCTCTATAACAAATCAGTGTTATGCAGTGTAGGGCTAAACAGGGTGATAATTTAGATACGAATAGAGCGTAGTCCGAAAGGGTCAGTGTCTGTTAAAGCCAAAGTCCATTATATTGGGGGTTTAAACTTTCAAAAAAATTGCTTTTAACTTAGAGTTGATTGTTAACATCATCAGCAGAAAATTATGGAAAAAATAAGATTTAAACTTTTTATAAGTTAAAAAATATAATTACACAAGGCGGCAAATTGCAAGTGTACAAATATTAAGTTCACTCCTAAAATTCAAATGTTCTCCATAATGTTTCAGTCAGTTCCTAAACAAGAGAGAATTATGAAGGTACAGTACAGTATAATTCTTCGGTGATCAAACCAGTTAAATGAAACGTTCCAAAGTCTCTCTGCGTGAGATGAAGCTACTGTGTATAAACTAAATATTTAATAAAAAATGAAGCCTAGCCCTGGAACCATGAATGCTAGAATCATCATCAGTATTCTTGGTTTATATTTTCACAAAGGTCTGACAATTCTTAAAAATGGAAGAGAATTAGTCAAAGAAAGGAGCTACTGACCAAAAACCAAATACTGTATCTTTGACAAATGAGCATTACAGTACCCTGGAACCATACTACTGTACGTAGTATTGTACCATCAGATGTAAACTTTGCCTGTACTGTATTTTCACATTGGCAACAAAATCTGAAGGAATCAGGCATGAGAAACATAGCTATTGGACAAAA